GGGAAATGCCCAAGGGAGTGTTTCAGCATCTGCAGACTTTCTCTGATAAAAACGGCCAGCATTTTTTGATTATGCATCTGATATGTTACTCCATGTGAATTATCTCAGTTTACACACAGAACCCTTAAAGAAAGGGCCATCATCTTCATTTTAAAAGTGGAGGTGGAATTTGAACTCAGAGGACTCATTTCTGGGACCAGGAACTCAACTCCAACATATCATTTCATCCATGAAGCTTTGTGTGACTTACGCTTTGCATCAAACTTCAAGTGTACTTACATAGCCACTTAGAACAATATAAGGTAAATAGTTACATGAAATCCTCATTGAGCACATTCCCTGGTAGTGTTTCTGGTACACAGTAAGCTCACTGAGATTTATAGAATCAGTGATTCTCACCAAGATCTTGTATGCATAGTAATAAAACTCAGACTAATTTTGGAGGACAAGAGGGCAATTTTGCTAAGCCATTCAATTGTCCCCCTCCTGGCCCCAGATGAAGACATTTATCTTTGAGGCAAGAGCCCATCCTCGTCAGTGTTTACTCAGGGATTTGGAGGATTTCTGGAAGCCAGGACCCTCACCTCCCTTCCCTGGCCCAGGAAACAGCATTCCCACCTTGGTGCAGAGCCTGCAGCTTTATACGAGTGTTTAGCATAGCTAGGAAAGGGCCAGGGAATCAGAACTGCGGTCATCTCTCTTCTTCTCTTCTTTCAGGTCAGCTGAGCTTGGGCTGGGCTGCCATCCTAAAGTCCTGGCTCTGTTCATTGGACTCCACAGCCCTTCTTTCTCTACCTTAGGGACAGGGTGTCACCCGAGGGACCCATTCTGAATCAGGAGGGAGAGAATGAGAGATATGAACAGACATCCTTTCCTCAGCTAAGTGGATAATAGACCAAGCATCCATATTCACCAGTCTTGGAGCATGTGTGGGGTGCCTGCCGCGGTGCTGAGAGTGATAAAACACAGCCAAGGTGACTCTTCCACTATTCCAGGAGCTTTATGGACTCCTTTGGTCCTCACAACAGTCTCATGAGGTGAGTCCGTTATTACCAACATTTTACAGATTTAGAAGGTGTTGCACTCAGGGCTCACAAAGAGAACAATTACATACAGGACACAGAATTTATATTATTTGATGATGGTCACCCAGAGTTAAATGCAAAAAAGTTCAGGAAATCTCTCCACACACTAAAGACCTGGAAATCCAGCCAACGGCCTGGATCCCACAGCAGTGTCCTGCATGAGTCCAGCTGAAGACCTAGAGCCCATGACAATGACTCTTGCAAGTCTGCTTCATGGATCTGCACAGGGAAGGCCCAAAGGTCAGTGGTAGAAGCTAGAAAGTCTGTGCCAGCAGGCTGAGTTCTGCCCTGAACCAAAAGAGCAATGCTCAAAATAAGGACCAGGGTTCCCCTGATAAGCACCACAGCCATCCTCAGCAACAATGAGGTCTTGAGCTCCTCTGATGATGAGGACAGTAGAGTACAGGAAGCCAGCGTGCCAAGCTTCTCCTGGAGGTTAAACAACACACACTTTTCCCTCTAGAGCCAGGAAGCGATGCTCAACATAAGGACCAGAGCTCCCTCAAAGTGAACTGCAGTCACTCTCACCAACAAGGTCCTGGGCTCCTCCAACTGAGTTCATATTGGGGAAGCCAGCATGACGAGCTTCTTCAGGAGAACCAACAGCTCCCAACAACACTTAGGAGAGCCACAGCCCAGGGAGGCATCCAAGAGAAAATGTTGTTGACAAAGCACCAGAAAAGCAGCATTGCCAGGGGCTGTTTTCTAGAGAATTCTAGGGGTCTAAATCTTTTCCTTATAGGGTGCCCTTTTCTCAGAATGGCTGCTGCTGCCACCTACCCACCAGTGAAGGCTCTACTGCAGAGCTGTCACAGACAAGCAGCAGTGGGTCCTCACTGTACCCAAGAAAGAGAGCTCAAGGACCAGGCACGGGAGCTGCCCTGTGCTCCACCTGCTGGCCCTGCACTCAGCAAGGGAAGCTGGACACCAGCCGAAATTGCCCATGTGTGTGTTACCTTCCTTCTAATGTCCAGCTGCCTTTGTTGTTTATTGAGAATAAAAGAGGACGGATGACTTCCCCTGAGCACCAGGTAACCCAGTCCTGATCCCAGGCCACGGTAATTCTAGGGACCGGCACTTGCAGTTGCTGTATAGGTTTGGACCATGCTTGGTCCAGGACCAAGATGAGAAGGTGCTGCTCAGCTACCTTGTGCCTCTGCTGGTGCCATGTTTGTCTAGATTCTATGCCAGGCATGTGGTTTGAGTTACCTTGGCCTGAAACAGCAGGCGGAGCCCGACCTGCATAGTGTCTGTCCGTAGGAAACCTCGCTGAAGTTTATGCACGGAAAGCGTTTGGGGCTGCGTCTGCCCTGGCTGTGGAGACAGGTGGGGTGCAGCTGGCGGCTCTCTCTTCAGCTGCCAGGCTGCAGGGAGAGGCCCGCTCCTCCTTCTGCAAGGTGTTTCCAATAAAGCCAGCACATGTCCTTCGTTAGAAATAAAGTAAACACAGAGTGATGATGTCATGGCGTTTCTGGGGGAAGCAGGAAAACAGTTTTCAAATGTCCTCCTCGAGTGTCTTGATGTGCAGCGGGTGGGCGGGCTGAGAGGAGAGCAGGGTGTTTACAGGGAGCGCGCCCATGGCAACCACCACCCGCTCTGGCTTCCCAAACTGGAGAGCGAGAGACCAGGCCACAGGGCCTACAGAGACACCCAGGGTGACGCCTTCCATACAAAGCAGTCTACACACAGCAGGAGTGGGACCTGCAGCTCCCAATCCCCAGCCTGCACATTTTCTGGGACATCCCACTGCACCACGACAAAGATGGTGATGGAACAGGCAGCTTCAAGTGGAGCTGATGTTTTAAGGCAATGGTTCTCATCCCAAATTCATAGGATGAGCCTTCCTGGGGTACTAGAAAAATTACCAGCACTCAAGCTTCACGCCGTGCGATTTCCAATGGACTAGGTATGGCGGGAGGCGACAGTGTACATATTCTTAACAGCTCCCCAGAAATTCAGAGTTGAGAGCCGCTACTCTAAGGAATGTAAGGATTGAGATAATATATTTCTGTCCTCTTCAGAGTGGTGAAGAAGGCAGACAGATATGTAAGTAGCCCCATGCCAGGCACTACAGATGGTCCAAGAAGAATGCAGTGTGCACCATGTTACTCTACACATGGACAAAGGACCAGTTTGGATGAGCACACTGTTTTCCACTGAAGCAAAGCTTTGTTACCTTTCCAGTTGTATCTTGCATCACTTGCCTTCTGTAAGGCCTTTTAATTAATTCCAAATAGTCAGGCTGTTTATCTCTTCTTTGGACTCTTACAGTACCCACAGGCTGTAGGCAAACAATCTAGCCCCAAACTGTGCACAATTTCTCTACTGTGCTACACTAATAGTGAAGTCAATCTTCTCATTTGGTGGACCCTGTTTCCATACATTGCCACCAATAGTCCCAGGAGTTCTACAATCCTGGCATTAATATTGTACAGATTCTATTTTCCTGAAAATAAGACCTACTTGGAAAATAATCAGCCTTGGGAACTAGAGATCCAAAATACCAGCCACGATCACCTTGCCTTACCTGCCATTACAGAGTAGCCGCTGAACAAGAGAACAGCAAGGTGTCATCACCTGTGTCATCATGGTGATGAGCAGCCCTTATTCTCTGGGTTAGTCTTATTTTTAGGGAGACATGGGATGAGGAAACTGAATCTCACAGATGTCAAGTCTTGCCCCAAACCAAACAGTTGGGAAGGACAAAAGAATACAGTTCTCTGTGCCTCAAAAATTCTTTCCAATGCATCATTTTCTATTAAATTAGCTATATTTCCTAAACATGTATTCCTGATGTTCTGCTTTACAAACCATTGCCTTTCTTTATGTTTGTTCTCTTATTTAGTCCTGACCACTGCCCCACTGTCTGCTTTACTTGAAAGGAAGGGAAAGAAGCCCAGAGGAATGCAGCGCCATGCTCGAGATCCCATCCTGACCTTGAACCTGGTCACGTTGCTTTCAAGTGCAGGCCACTCCCGCTGCTCACATCTGTCACATGCCAGGGTCCGTGCCACGCTGACCCCAAGCCCCAGTAGGTCAGGACGATCCCCCATGCTGCTCCTGGGTCCCCCTCTGACTGTAAACTGCTGTTGTCTCATTAATGGATTTTTCTGGAAGTAGAAAAAAATGTCCTAATGCAGCAACTGGCTCTACAGACCTGCAGAGCGAAAACCCAGCGGTTCCTGGAGGCTGGAAAAAACTGCAGAGAAGACAGCCGTGGGTTCCTTTTATTGTGTGACTGTTGCTTCCGTAGTGGGGAAGCAAAATGCCTTCTGCTCACGGTTTTTAGGCAATGATTCCAAACTCTCAGTGTGAGCTTCCAGAAGCCAGAACAATGGTCAGTTAAGTGTCCTGTCCACAGCCACTGAGTGGACTGGAGGAAGGGACAGACACCACCACGTCCCTCCCCCAAAGCCACCAATTTGCATCCCAAGGATCTGCTGTGACATCGCAGTGTCTTTATTTATTTAGTCACATTCCACCCCTGTTTCCAAAGTGGTTCACTACATGAATAGACAGAATGAGCAATGATAAAATATAAACAAGTGAAGTTGACCAAGGCTGGGGAACATGTAAATTGAAGTCGCGTCCAAGGAAAAACACTTTATTAGTCAGAGAGGAAACGCTGCCTAAAGCCCAGAAGGCTCGGTGCACTTGAAATCGATCTTCCGTGCATATGGCTTCACCCCTGAGGTATTTCTAAGGGCTCGGCAACTCTTGTGGGGTTTTCCTTCATGCTGGATATTGACACCAAAGAATGATTACAGCAACGAAACTATAGATTTATTCCCAGGATGTGGTCAGCACACAACATTCAAGCATCCTTGGTTAAACGGGATATGTTTTCCAAGTCTAGCAGTGCCAAAAAGACCACGTCAATGCTCTGTGCTGAACGTAACATTTATTTCAACAGTAAGTCTGAATCATGGCCATTCATTCAACAAATACTGTGACAATAAATTGTCTCCCAGGAGCTGTGCAACATGCTGGCAAATCAGAGCTGATGGGGCAGACAGCTTTCTTACAGGACTTCCCACTTAGAGGGACACGTACGCTCGTGAAGACACGATGGGTATACATATGATGTGTGAGTGCAGAGGAATATAAAAGGTTGCAGAGATGGAGATATCAGCTTCCTGAGGCGAGTTGGTTTAGCACCACACCTACCCACACCCAGTTACAAAAGGCAGAAGCACTGGGCCAACGGGGCCACCCTAATCTCATGGCCTAGGGGAGTCACAGCATAGAGAGCAGGTTTGTGTCTTGCTAAGCATCTCCATATTTCTGATTTGTTTGCACAGAGACAGCAGCCATCCCACCTTGGAAGACAGTGAGCAGCAGGTGTGGGGCGAAGGGATGTGAAGACCTGCTATGACAGAACTGTGGCCATGGTGAGGCCAGGAAGACTAATTTCTTGGTGTGACATTGGCTGACTGTTCTTGCCAATCCTCCATGTGATAAAGAGAACTTCAGGACTGGAATCAGCTTGCTGGTGCATTCTGTATGCACTCAAACCTCCTTTGATCGCATTTAAAACAAAAATCACATATGTCGAGAGAGATTAAAAATGGCATGTTTGATTATCAAGGATGTGCACCAAAAATCGAAGGCCAGTGGCAAAAAGTGACCAAGGGTCACCAAATTTTAAAGTTAGGCACTGGAGCTCCAGTTCAATTTGGTGCATCTCCTCTGGCTAACCTGGATTAAGAATACTTAAGTGTCCATAAAATATGTAGTGGTCTCCCCTTGCCTTCAGAGCGTAGATTTCAGCGCCCTCGGTGAACACTTGAAACCACCCATAGAGGGTTCACTCTCTACTATCTGTGCTTTTTTTCCCCCTATACATGCATACAAATGATAAAATTTAATTTATAAATTAGGCACACTAAGAAATTAACAACAGTAACTAATAATAAAATAGAAAACATATTCCAGTCTCTAATAAAAGTGAAGGGAACCTCTGAATTGCCCCAGAGCAGGTAGCATACACTACCTGGATATGTTAGTCTTGGGTGATTTGTGCCCCAGGCAGGATGGAGCAGAAAAGAATGAAATTAGAACACAATATTCAGTGTCCTGAGTAATTTAACACTTATGAATTGTTTATTTCTGGAATTTCCTATTAATATTTTAGACCATAGTTGACCATGGGTAACAGAAAGCACACGGAATGAAGTAAAAATTAACTGGGGGATATTGTAGTATAAATGTTACAGAATTTACAAAAAAAATATGGGGCGGGAAAGCAACCTGCAAAGTAGCATTGACCTCAATGGAGTTTAAAAGGTATGTCTGGAGAAGCCCAAGACCATGGCTTCCCAGATTCCAGAGACTCACTATTATCCTGAAGTAGGTATGGACTTTCTGCTGTAAAAACAAAAGCAAGGATGGTAAATTCAAAGAAAATCATCTTTTCTTCTCTCTATTAACTCACAGGTTGGAAGTTTAAAAAGTAGAATTTTTATAAGACAAAACTAATAAATACTGAAGGTATTGGAGAATCTGATTTTAAAGAAAAGAGAACCACAGTGGAAATTGTGTGTTTGTGACCAAAACCTCAGGCACTAAAAATAAAGACTGAATCTATGCTGAGTCTCTATGTGAGGTGGTATTTGGTTAAGAGTGCAGAGAGAGACTCAGACTCCAGGTTTGAACTCAGCTACCCCACTATGTGTGTCCGAGCAGATTACTTCTCTTCTAAGGGCTCCTGTTGTCTCAGTTGAAAATGGGGAAATGATGGTACCTACGTTCCCAGGTTGTTGCTGTGAGGACTGGAGGAGACACTGTATGTAAGGCTAAGGGCCATTCTATGCACTTAGAAATCCTCACTACTACTCAAGGAATGTCCAGGAATTTCTATGGTCCAGATAGGGCAGTGAAGCTTCAAGAAGCCAAGTGTCTTTGCTAACTGCCTCCTTCTCCAGGTAACTGATAGGCCTCCCAAGTGATAGCCACACTCCTTCCCCCCCCACCTTTCCTCTGTGATGTGGTGTATTTTCTTGTCCACTTCTTCCTTGCAACTCATCTGTCCCATAGTTTTCTCTCAGGGACCCCTTTATAACTTCCTATTGTGTTGGAAGTTACAACAATACCTGAGGCCCAAAACTTTGGAAAGAAAGGTTTATTTAGCTCACAGTTTGTGGAGGTTTCAGTCCATAATCAACTGGCTCCAAGGTAGGGTGGCACATGGCAGAGGGCAATTGTTCATGGAGGCGGAAGACAGCAAAAGCAACAAGAACCAAATGGGAGGGACAAAGGGAGAAGACTCTTTTTGTCCCTTATATTGTATGTAGGCCACAGCCACTTGTTGCAGCACTCACATCCATAATGCCAGCACTGGACCATGAGTCAGTCATAAACTCCTAAGAGCCTGTCCCCATGACAGCATGAGGCTTTGGGGGGACAGCCAGACACAAACCATGACACTTGTAATCCTCAAGCCTTTCCTTTTACTATGGGAACTTTTTATCTTTTGCTCCTCAGCTCTTTCATGCAGAGGTCACTGAGGACTTATGCATTCAGCTCCAGAGAGCCAGAAGAGGTGTGTCCTACCAAGAGGTATTAGTGAAACTCCCTTGACCACTTGGATTTCCATTATCCAGGCTTTGCAAACTATTCTCCTGCAATCCTTAGCCTGTTTGTATTTTTCTGTATTTTGCTAATCTCAGGGTACTCCCTCCCAAATCTAGACAATGAAGGTTAAAATATTTGTGAGGTCAGGAACTACAACAGCTCACACAGATCCCTAGATGGCCAACTCCTTCAAAGACTACAGCAGGCAGGCAAGCAATAAAAGCTACTATTTAACCTGGAAGAGAGGAGGTGGCAACAAAGGATGGAACGGCTGTCTCCAAATATTTGAGGTGCTGTTGTGAGGGAGGCGTCTGTCCATTCTGTTCTCCAAAGGCAGAGGCAGGCAGTGGTGAGCGTCAGAGAGGAAACAGTTCTCAAGCCAAGGGGAGGAACTGACCTCTTCACAGCAGGGCTGTCCACTCGGGGTCCTGCGACCTTGAGCTAGAAGCACAGCATCACTGGGAACGCGCTGTAGAGGTTGAATGCCACCTGAGGGCCCTTCTAAAGGTGGCTCATGCATTAAGCAGAAGGTATATCAAGTCAGGATGCAGAGGTATCAGCTGCAATGCTTTCAGAGAGCTCGCAACAGGGTCAGAAGAGTAACATAGATGGAGACGGAATGTGAGGTGGCAAGATGACAGACCTCAGCAAAGAGGACACTGAGGACAGACCAGGCACCCTATAATCCTGTCCTAGTCATCACTGATGCGCAGAAAAGCACAGACCCGAGGTGAGGATGTGGAGCATGTTCTCCGTTCATCTTCTTTGACGACCTCTGGCTGATTTAAGATGCTAATTTAGAGAAAACCCCAGGCCACTTAGCAGAGGGCCAGGTAGAAAACATAGTCTAGTACCGGTTTGGAGGCTTCCACTGCAGTCCTTCATTTCAGCCCTATAGGTGTCCGGTGGATGAAGGATCCCAGGTGTGAGTGAAAGGAGGAAGAACGGGGATGAGGTGGAGGGAAAGTGATGTGTCCAGAGTTCTTACAGGCAGTTTAGACCAGATCGACGTGCATTCATCACTAGCACTCTGTACTCAGAACGAGCTGAAGGGCATTATGAAATATCTAGGAGAGAATTATTCAATGGGTGTGGGCTTGTTCCCCAGGAACACAATATAGTAAGTGCTGTATTCCTTTAATTTCCATATCAAACTACACTGGCTCTGCACCTCCAGAATCGCCACCTTCTGGGCCCTTGGATACTGCAGGAATCTCAGGTCTTTCTTGGTCCCAGATAACAGAAGGCCTGTTCTTTAGGCCCTAGTAGGTGCTATGACTTTCCATCACCACCACTTGCTTTCTGTGTGCCTGGCCAAGCTCCCAGCACTCCTCAGGCCCTCTAGAGACCAAGCCACTGGGTCCAGGAGTTCTTGCTCTGAGGGCCCTAGACTTATAAATCACCATGCCCACGCATCCAGATGTCCCAGCTCTTGGGACACTGGGCACGTGGGATCCAGGTTTCTGCTGTTCAGCAGTTTGCACTGCCTTTTCATCCCTCAGATTTGAGAAATCTGGATTGTTCCAGCTTTCAATCGCTGAGGCTGGTCTCCAACACTGCACCACTATCTCACCTCCCTGTGCCAAAAATTTCAAAACAAAGTGAAGCCTCCCTCAGGGCAAGTGAAATGCAGCCCCCTTGGATACAAACCTGTGGGGGCTCCTGGGGTAGCAACATCTTGGATTTATTTAGCTCTCCCCGCGAGCCAGGCGTATGATGAGTATTATGCAAGAAACATTACCTCATCGGAGCCTCACAGGAGCTATCCCTGGTAGGTAGGAGTCCTGTTCAGTCAGCGGTGTCAGGAAAGCAAATCTTCAGTCACTGAGGATCTCAAACCGAGGGGCAAAGCTGAACCTGAGGAGCCCGGATCCTCACCAAAGAACTACACCTCACTCCACAGCACTGAAAGGCAAATCAGCTAGTAAATAATCTGCTCATACTTTTTTGTGCAAGGTGACTTAAAAAAATAAGATACAAGTAAATTAAACATGTGAATTTTCCAGAATGGCACAGATTAAATCCCAGAGCTCTGAGGAAGAAGTGAGATGTCTCAGCTCTGGGCAGCCTGAAGCCCCTGGAGCAGCCCTGGGAGTCCCTCATCCTCTCCCCATCAGCCTGGGCTACCTGCAGCAGCACCCTCATTGCCCTTGTGTCGCAAATGTCCTGCAAAGCAGCCCCTTGGACACATTTCCCTAAGACAGTGCCCAGTTTGTCTTCTTTATGGCAGGGTAGTACTCTACTGCATAGCAATATTACTTCTTGCATTCCTCTTTCTCTTTTATTATACTTTGATTTTCTCATATTAAAGAAACCACACAGTATTTAAGATTTTGGGTCTAGCCGGGTGTGGTGGCTCACGCCTGTAATCCCAGCACTCAGGAGGCTGAGGTGGGAGGATCGTTGCGAGTTCGAGACCAGCCTGGGCTACAAAGTGAGCTCAAGGCCAGCCTGAACTGCATAGTAAGACCCTGTCTCAAAAAAGGCAAAAATAAAATAAAATAAAAAAAGATTTTGGGTCTGACTTATTTTACTTAGACTTGCTTTCAAGGTGCATTCTTGTAAAAAGGCTTCACATTCTTCCTTCTTTATAGCAGAGTAAATCCCACTATGTACAGACACTACATCTCTTTATCCATTTGTCTATCGAGGGACACATAGGCTACTTCCAAGACTTGGGTCTCATGAACTGCACTGTTATAAACATGGCTATGCATGAGTTGCCATAGTATGATGTCTTTAACTCTTCTGGGACGACACCTCCAAGGGAAACGGAGTTGCTATTTTTAGTTTAAGAATTTCCATACTGATTTCCATGGTGGTTGAACTGGTTTACACTCAACCAAAAACGTAGAAGGGTTCCTTTCTCACCAGTCTGGCCAGCGATTGCTATTACTCTATTTGTTGATGTTTGCCATTCTTTCTGAAGATGAAATTTCAGTGTTTTAATTGGAATAGCATCTCTTGCTCTTTTCTTTCTGGATTCTGACTCCCTTGGCCTGCAAAAAGACTTTTTTTTCCTATCTACCAAACTACCCTTTAATAGCTAATTGAACCCACCTCCCCTCTGGTCATCTTTAAAAAGTAGTTGTCATGCATGTACTTTTTTCACCATTTGAAATCCTTCTATAATCCGGTACCTACTATATTTTATATTTTAATGTCTCTGAAATTGGGAATACATTCTATATGTTTTTAAAATTTTCAAGTAGGATGCAAATTCACGGGGCATTTTTGAAGGATGGCATTTTTTAAAAGGAGGTCCATGAACATGGTAGGCACAGCACACGACTGCCTGATGCTAGATCAGAACCTACTCAAAGGCAAGGCAGAAACTCCTCTTGATTTATCTTGTACCTCCCTCCCTACACTCAGCACTAAGCCCAGTAATGTTCAGGTTATGGATGTGTTTCACTTGAAATTTCCACTATCATAAGCAGTGTGTAAACCTTAACTCAAAAACTTTATAAAGAAACAGAATCATAAAATGAAGACAGTCAACAACGTATTTTCAGTGATCTGCCACCAAAAACTGGAACAAGTTTATAAGTTTCCACAATTATTTCCAAGATTATTTGTAAAAATATTTGACTTCAGTACTGTCAATAATTCATTCAAGTAAATATATTCACAATAACAAAACATACAATATTTTGTCATTAACATTTTGCAGTCAGGAATTATTCTTGTTCACAGTGCATCATCTTGCAGCTTTAGAAAGCAATGAATCATTAGTTGGTACAATAAAGCAATACCGAGAAAATATTTCCACCTGCCCTACTGTATTTATTATCCATTACTTAGCTTAACGGAGGCATCAGAAAGGGGACTGAAAGAAAAATCATCAGTTGTCAAAAATCACTGCTCAAAGTTACCTAGAAGAAGGAAAGGACTATAGAAATATTTGTGAAATACCTAAATGCCATTACTTTATTTTCTAAATCAAATTGTCATCCTTCCCTGCATCCCTATCCAGTGAGAGCTTTCTGTATAAGCCCACAGCTGCGATGTATTAAATATTTAAACTTGCCTTTTTAAGCCTTACAAGAATCTGAACCGAGATATCCAGAGATTTTTGGCCAACTTCTCATCATAATTTCTTGAACTCTGGACATTTACATTTGCAGCTCCAAGCTGATTTGCATTATGCACCCTTACAGGAATGGATTTGCCAGAAAGTTTTGAAATTCAAGGACAGATTGGCCCCTTTCTTGCATAGGTCATCGCTCCAGAGCTACAGATTAGCCCAGCAGGGCCCTCCAAATCTTTTGCAATGAACATTTTGAAATACATGGGTCATTTATTTCTGGCTTCCAGGCAGTTCAGCAAAAGTCTTAGGCTATGGAATTGCAAAAGTTTATGACTTCTCACTGAGGAATGAAAAGTGACACAGTAAAGCAAACTGCAGGCATTAACACCAGATGTTAACGTGAAAACTGGAAAATTGGGGCCCCACATGCTTATCTGACCTCTGACCTGAAAAATCCCCTCACAAATCTGAAGGTCACCATCACTGTGGGCTCTTCTATTATTTAACCTTGTGCCTACTTTTCCAAATGCAAAATAATAATTCCAAATACACAACAGATCACTAGCTCATATCAATCTGGAGGTATTTTGTTTACACATGAACCATAGTGCAATTTCTGGCCATAAAACCCACAGGTATAATCTTCCTGATTTGTTGTGATTTCTAATGATTTTTAAAAAATTATTTCCCCGCTCTGCGCACCATACTGCTCCAACTTCACAAGATGCTAAAGGAAAGGAAAGGGAGAAATTTTGCTTATTGGCACTGAGAAAGAAAGGGAGCCTGGTGGAAATCTTTTCACAATATTTTTACAGAAGTTTGCATTTCTTCCCCAAACCAGAAGCCAGATGCGAGGAGGACGGTGTGGGAGGGGGCACTGAGACAGGAAGCTCTGGCCGCTGTGAGTTCCAGCTTTTCGACTTTCTGAGGAACACAGCCAAAACACAACCTCCCTGCACCTGAGATTTCCTCTTCCTCAGAATTGGTTTAACCGTGATGTCTTAATAACCTCACGGGACTGGCACAGGAAAGAACACAGCATAGCAGTGAAGGCTTAAAGGTGCTGGAACAGGAGGAACGCCACTCAAGCTTGGTCCAGTTCGAATCCTCAAGGAGCTGAGGCCCCAGCAATCCCCTTAAACCCAGGCCCGAGGAAGGAAGAACTGTAATAGGGCTCCATTCTCCCTGGGCTCTGGCGTCCTCACCTTTGTATCTGTCGGCTTTTGAGATTTACAGTGGTGGAGAGGGGAGGAAAGTAAGGCGTACGGATCCTTTAGCGAACTATGAGCCAGCCTCTACACATGTTCAACCATCCCAGGCAAAACATCAACCTGGAGTTTGGCACCAGAGTGAGGACCTGAGAGAGACCACAGACAGGAAAGCATTAGGCCATTCTGGAGAAATCTGAACCAGCAAAAGAGCCGGGTTCTGCTTCCTGAGAGCATCCCTCCCCCTCCCCCACCCCTTCCTGCTTCCTCCTCCCTCTCCATCTCTCCAAAGACACAATAGACAACACCCTCACACCACTGACAAGTAGAAAGGGCCTCTGAAGCCACCCTGTCCCCTTCCCCGTGGACGACACTAAGGGCCACAGGAGTCCAGGGTATGCGCCAGGCACCCAGATCAGCAACATCTCTGTGACAAGAAGCAGGGCACCAGTCCCCTGTCCAGTAATGCTTGACCTTGCGCAGAATGAGGACATTCTGTTCTTCGTGTCTCAAATGCAATCTAAGTTTTCCTTTGAAAGATTAAATTTATTTTAAGACAAACACTTGGAGAGACTGGGAACTAGAAATCCTTCTCTTCCATCCTCCAGCCTTCCCTCTGTTCCTTTCATTTTCCCTCTTGCTTTGCTTCTCCCACTTTCTCCAGCCTCCCTTTCCCTCCTTCTTAGGTCTACACACCCAGAGGCAAGTGAGGCAACAAAGCCAGCTGATGTGAAGTCTGGAAAACATGATTTACACTTGCTTATGGTACCTCGAAACTTACGCTGAGGCTCTTCGACACGAGGTTACCAATTTAAGTTCTGAATACAGAAAGGAGCTTTTCTTTCCAAAGAATCTGATACCATTTATATAAAATTAAAGTTTTATTATTCCCCAGGGTTCCACCACCACCACCCACCCCTCCAACTATTCATCCTCAGGTTCAAAAATATCCCTTGGCCCTCATGACTGAATGATCTCGCAATGGGTGTGCGAGCTTATTTGGGTCTCAGGGGACCAAGTAAAGTGATAATGTGTTTATCTCACAATCATGCACATTATCCGTTATGAACAGCCTTGTTTAATCTGAACCAAATTTGCAAAATTGGATCATTTCTGTTCTTTCCCCTCCCTCACATATAGTCCAATCAGTTCATTGACTCTTGACTCCAATCCTAAGAACTATATACTTTTTCCCCCAGGAATACAAGACAGAAAAAAAAAATCCAGTGGTCCACCATAGCAAAAAATATCCCAATGCGTGTCCAATAAAGAAGAGACAAAAATGTCCAATGACAGGAGTGCCAAAATATTTATTGGAAGTTTTCAAAAATGTTACAAAAGAAGCAAACACTGTGAAATGATGACAGGGAAAACCTTAGACACTGACAATTTGGTGAGGCTGTACAGGGTCAGGGAGGAAAAGGACCAGAGCCGGGTGCTCACTGTCAGAGAAGCACTGCACACAATTTACCTTCATTGTATGATCTTTTATACCTGCTATTTCATTCGGTCTCATTTGGTAAAAATCATCCCAGGCTTGGAGAGAGACAGAGGGGGAGAAAGAGGGAGGGAGGGAGAGACAGGGAAAGAGACAGAGAGAGACAGAGAGAGAGACAGAAAGAGAGAAATTGTCACCTATGAATACCATCCAAGCCCATTATCCATCAGCTTTTTCAAGAATCACCACTCTAGTGGGAACTGTAATTTTATTGGCTCAGTGATTCAATAAGAACCAGATATTAAGGAACCCATAAAGTTAGAAGTTGATTTGTAGCAAAGTAATAAGGTATGGTGATTTATTTCTATTTTCTGGTAGAGAAATTTTCTTCCCAGGTTATAGTTTTATTTCCCTACAGGATACCACCCGGATTTAACCTTCCTTAGCGATCTCATTTCATCAAAGTCTTCCCCACTGAGTACTGAGAGCCCAGCTGGCCCGATTCTCTTCAAACCGCTGTTACGCTGATGATGTTAATGAAGCTTGGTTCATATATCCTGCGAGATTGTGTTTCTTGATGTGAGAATCCACACTTTGACATTGTCGGCTGTGTGAGGTAGGTAGTAGGTCCTCGTTTCAGAGGAGGCGAGTGAGTCTTAGAGAAGGCACATCAGCTCCTCGGCTTGCAGAGGTTGGAAAACCCAGAGCTGGAGTCTAAACTCGAATCTTCCTAAAGCCCTTTCCAGGAAATGCACTAGTAATTTGTGTGTGGACGGAAAATTTGGGTTGAGAACATGGCCAACACATCAACCTCACCTACATAGTTACAGACGTGACAGCTGGGTACCAACAGGCTAAACCTGAGTGTTTAAATGGGAACTAAAGAGACTACTAACTTGTTTCATTTCTCAAGTCTGAAAAGTTGGAAATGCTGGGAGCATTTGCCCTTTGATGATATGGAATACTATCATTAAAGTGTGAAATCTCAATGCTTTGCTGATTCCATCTATGGTCAGGATAATGGTCAGCAAATTACTACAGAGTTTGTTACAGAAGTTCCTGAAACATATTTAGAACACTTATTCCAAGGCACTGTTGGCTAGTTCACGAGCATGTCGGCCCGTACACAGCCTGCGCTTTCTGAATCAGTCTGACCAAGGGACCAGTCTTCCCTGCTGTAAACATGTTTGGTCCACCTTAGCCCTAGGCTGGTAGAAAAGAAAAAGACTGACAGGCCTTTCTCCTTTTCAGCCATGCAAAGGCTTCCGGTCCCTGGTGGAACAGGAAGACTGGGGAGTCACATGTGACGTTTTATCTGAGAGCACCCTGGCATACACAGGACTCTGTCCTGCAAGTGCCTCTTCCAGGGAAAGAAAGTCTGCTTCTTATGTACACAGTTTATCTGTCAACAAGTGTGGCCTGCAGCCCAGAGACACCCCTTGGGAATGCACCCATATATCCACCTGAGGATTTGTTCAGCATCTATGCAGATGTGCAAAGCTCTCTGCAGAAGTAAGATCCCATATCGAGGCTGATAAAAATCCATACTTGAACTGCAAGGTTTTGGTCCATCGAACTACGGATTGGACAGTGACCATCTGGCCCGGGTTCCCACACAGCACGCCCCGATCTGACAGGCACTGGCAGCTGTCTGCCACAGACCGAAGCCCAGTGAGCCAATCTGCCCCCCTCCTCACCCCCGAGCGGCTGGAATTCAGCTCCAGCTGAAGCGAAAAGGGAGTGTGGTTCAAATTCATCCTGACTCACAGCCTCACTGTTTTATCCTGACTAAAGCCACTCAATGTGTCTGTGGTTTTCTTACACAAATTTTCGAGCCAGCTAGTGCTATTATAAAGCGGCTTTTCCAGCCTTGATGTTGGGGGTGGATTTCTCGCTCGCATATTTTTTCCAGATGTGATAAGCTCTCCATAACCCTCTTGGTGAGCGAAAGCGTAGCCAGATCTTCTTGAGCTTGACCTGCGGCTCTGAGGCCTTTGCCTCTGGACGGGCCTTGCCTTTTTCTGAGCCTTCTGCCACCGGCGGATCTAGGGAGGAACAGAGCCAGAGTGACAGGATGCACAGCAAGAAAGCACCATGTAAACAAGAAACACTCAGACAAGTTTCATTATTGTCTCCACCTTAGATGTCCTAACTGCACAGGAGAATGTGGGCTGGGGACAGAAGCTCACCAGAGACAGATTTCTAACGTGCACCACCCAGATGCCACCGGCATAATAAGTTAAGTCCCACTCCCCCAGCTCGGTGTACAGCCCTGTCTTGTCGGGCTCTCTGGGTCCAACAGCTATCAGTAACTGGAGTACGAGAAAGTGTGGGAAATGAGAGGCAGACACTTTCAATGCTTGTGGTAGGTCAGTGAAACTTTCAGGGGGTTGATTTATTCAGGGATTTTTGTGGCCATCTGAAGGGCTCAACATTATTTGAGTGGGTTTCCAGCATTTCTTTCGTTTCCCTGCAAAGGAAGAAAAGACCAGAGGCTCGGTGTGAACAACCTTGTTCTCTGATTTGGCAAATCACTTGCATTCTGACTTTTGTGTCAGCAGAAAGTTGTGAAGCAGAAAAAAGTGATGGAATGTAGGAGGAATGAGCACGGATGTGCTTCTTTCAGCCTCTCCATCATTTCTTGGGTTTGTATCAGTTCAGAAGCAACAAGAAAGTTGACTCCATCTTCAGAAGGGATATTTTTATACATTGGCTATAGGATGTGAGGGACCCGATAATAAGAAAGGTTCTCAGCATCCCCAGCCCGAACCCGAGCCCTCACAGGTGGTTCCCCTTTCCTGCACCAAGCACTGCTCCGTATCTGTCTCCCCTGTCTTCCTTTCTCTTCATATGTGTGTCTTGACCTCACACTGTCTGGGTTACAATCCTCTTCCCATGGAACCCCAAATCTCCTCTCATTCCCCGGGTGAGATATTTCCACAATCTGCTCTTCCTATTTTCCTTCTACTTTGTGTTTCCCGATCCGTCCTTCATGCTTTACATCCCCTTTACATCTGTTCAGAGGGAAATCTCTCCCCCATATGTCTCCATCTGCTCTTGTATTTCTACAAACATTGACAGCCTCTGACTCAGTCTTTTTTTCTCTCCCTCCTCCTGTGCCCCCTGCTCACCCTCAAGTCAGTAGATTTTCCTAAGGCACAGCTTTTTCGTACAGCAATTGTCCAAGCCCATTTCAATGAGTTTCTTTTTAAAACTCAGTTTTAAAAAACACGAAACACATATGTAATTTTTTGACTCCATACATGCTTGTTCCAGAAGCACCCCTTCGTTGGCACACAGGACCTGTAGCTTCGAGATGTAGGTGGTTCCATCTGCTCTGATGCGATGCCATGCACCTAAGGGCACTGGCCTTTAAGAATTCCACTAACCTCTCCCTAAGCTTCCAAGCAGAGGAGGAGGCCATTGCAAGAGCCAAGAACCAGCCTCCAAGCACTCTACATACCTGGTCAGTCCGAGATGGGCATAAATTTATCTTCAGAAACCTGAACACCACCACAGGCATAACTGAGGCCACAGTTGTTAAGAGAATAACAAGCCAGATGCACTTCTGGGACAAAGAATGCCATGCATTTCCTATGATTAAAAAAAAATAGGTCCTATGGTTATAAACAGGACTGATTTATCAATAGGCTCTGGGCTGATAAGATCTCCCATGAAGCACCCATGTTTGGACTCCCTGGGAGAACGGGGACATCTTCTGCAGGTACCGTGTGCTCAGCGGTGATGAGGAGAAGCCACTCAGCAAGCTGAACCAGCCTGAGCCAAGCACGCTGGGGTCCAGGCTTGGTCCAGCATCACTCCTGAAGCATGACTCCCTCTTCCTGCCTCAAGATTCCTTGGCTCCAGTGCGGCCCCCAGAGCCAAACCTCAGAACTCAGAGTTGCAGGACGCATCAAACCTGGTGTCATCATGTTCGGACAGTAAACAATGTCCCAGCACTCATCCCTTGCCTCAGTAACTCTTGAGTAGGCAGAACCTCAGGCTCCACCTTACTGTCTGTGCTTCTGTGCATTGAAAGTATCATGAGTTGCAGGAAAGGCTAAGAGTGGTACCTCACCTAAAAGGCTACTTTTAGCCCAGTATATGCAAACCTTCTGGGAAATGTTCACAAATTACCTCTAATTACATTATTTCTCATGACCAAAATTCATTCATTCCACACTGGTTTCAACACTCATAGAGTTCTGGAATGAATTGATGAGGAGGACCAAGGTACGACTGAATCTTTAAAAGGCACTGTTTTACCTTCATGGGTCCTTAAATAAAATCGTACTCTTAAAACTCACAGTAAATGTTCTCAGTGCAGGCATCATTTCAAATAACGGCCTGATCAGCTGGCTAAAATAAAAGGTGAGCTTAATCCACTGCATGGCCAGACTTTTAAATTCTAGGCAGCGATGGCCTCAGAAAACTTGCCTCGAAGGTGATGAGCTGCTTTGAGTTTCCAGGCAAGCTGGGGGTGCCTGGGTTTGTGTAAAGAACAGCCCCTCACTGTAGGCCACTGATGGAGCTCCTACATACAGTACAACTGGGCAGCAAGGCGCAGTCCAAGTCTGAAGCCAGTCTCTGTACTTTCTGTACTTTCAATTCTCACCTTACAGCCTTGGACATTTGTCTAAAGAAGGCAGTAAGGGTCAGGGAGGCAGACAGACAAACCTATGAGAAGACATCTGCCCTACGTCCACCACCAAAATATGCTCTAGTTTGTCTTCTAGGGATTTCTCAAGATGCCTCCAACACCCTCATTCCCTTTTCGGGGCTCATGTTTTCACACCCTTAAAGAGGGCTTTGGGCATGCGAGCTTGGCTTCTGGTTGGTAGGTCTGCTTTTTCTGGCTTTGGTGAGTAGAATTCACCTACCATGAACAGAAATAAACTTGACTCAATAAATTAAAAGCCTTTTGAGGCTCCTTAAAGCTAAGAACCCCCAGGTAAGGCTGAGAAAAACAGCTTCGCTGTAAAACCACACTCCTGTATGCTGATGGTTACCAAAGGGAAAAATCTCCTTTCCCCCTTAAGCCCCATTGTTGATCTAAGTTCTGTAAAGTCTCACTGGAGCTCCATAATTAATTCCCGGAATGGCATGAACTCAGCAGAGGAGAGGTCCACACACAAACTACTTTCTCCAGTGCAAGCATTCCAGGCTCACTGTGCGTGTTCAGGTACTCTCTCAGGACTATAGGCTTTCTAGTCAGTGCAATGAGCTTTTTATTTAAAAATAATATGAGTCTTTCTTTCCTAACCAACTTATTCTGATTCATAACCTACTTGTCTCCCCGTGGTTGGAATCTTTAGTAAACAAAGTATTAACATTACACATTAAGTAAGATTTCCAGATATATGCAGAAAAAGGCAAAAATTAAAGAAAAATGTTCTTAAACTGTGTGCATTTAAATGGAATTAGAATTTCAGGTACTTTGGCATAAATGGAAACACTGAAACTGACAGTTGATTCGTCTTGATGCTTTCTACGTGAGTTGTCTTCTAAGAATTATTTTCTGAAAGGAGTTACCCAAACAGGGCATGCAAATCCCAGTCTTGTTTGATTGAGCTCAAGAAAAATGTCACAGTATGTCTCTCTTTTCTGGCTTGTTGAAATAAACTCAAAAAACATCACTGTTGCCTACCTACGCTGCACACACAAGAGTATTCAAAGCTTCTGAAAGCTGTATTAATAGGCTTCTTGTATAAATCGTAGTGCCTCCCTGGGATCACTTCAGAACATGGACTGCCCTGTGGGAGTAAGCCCTGTGCCTCTCCAGGTATATATATTCTTGGGATAATAACAGAATCTCGAGGCTTAAAGGGCTTTTAAAGGGCTCTTTGCTATCCTGCTGATGTTCAGTCTTCCTGCAATGTCCCAATCAGCAACTAGGACACATCTGTTTGAATAGCATTAACCACTACCATCATGGTCAATATCTATGGAAAATGTGGCTTGATCCACGATATACGCTAACTATATCTAAGTATGTATGTGTTATATATGTAATCCCCACAGCTTTTCTGTGACAGCAAAACTATGCATAGCTCCAGTTTATAAATGAAGACATGAAATGCTGAGAAGACACTTGTCCAAGGTCACACAGCTAGTTGAGAGGTGGAGCCAGCATTTGAATTTTGGCTGTCTAAGTACACAGCCTAGTCTTTTGGCCACTGATAGACCAGTGTTCAGAAGTTTGTTCAGGCTACTGAGAATCCACAAGTTGCTATCACAATGAGTCTTCTGCATCTGGCAGGGGCAGCAGACACTGATTTTAAGTCTGGAAGTGTTCAGAGACCTGGCTTAATCAGTTCCTGGAGAAAGGATTACTGGTCTTTTCCAGTCCCATGCCACACCCCCCTCCACCCCCCAAAACACAAATGAATGAAGCATAAAACAGGAGACATTAAAACTCACCAACAAATGGAAATTGGTTTGGGAACATTCCAAAAATGCCATTACTGTGCATGGTAAATAAGATGAAGAAGTAAGTAGCAATGCTGCCCCAGATGAAGACATGGTTAATGACTGTCCAGTAGCTGGTATCCAAGGCTATCTGTCAATAAATCAGATGCAAAAGAGAGATAGGTCTTTGAGGTTTGAAAGAACATCGTTTCGCAGTGTCATCTTTCCCCAGTATGCCTACAACAGGAAGGCTACAACTGTTCAGCAGCTGGGCCAACCACAGGCATCTCTGCCCTCTGTGCATACACAGCAGACTGACTGTTAATCTGACATTTCTGTTAGAAGACTGACTTTAGGATTTATGTGCATGGGTATCATACATGCCAAGTGTGGGTGCAGCATCCAGAGATAAAATATTGAGACTTTCCTACATGAGAAATAGGGAAACAAGATAATTTCATAGTTTTAAAGTCAGTTTCTGAGTTGCTCTCAAACTTGTCTATTCCCCAATAGAAAGTTTCTTTCTATACTGAGCAAGTGTGGCATTTTATAATCTGTACATAAATTTTCACATGATCATTTCAACACATGCATAATCTTTTTACATAAATATTCCAACTCATTTTGATGATCCTTTCCTTGAATTATACTCAAATCATAACAAAGGAAAAGCCTTGATCCTCTTGGCATAAAATTCAGAAATGGAAAGTCAGGATGACCTGGAGTATGTTCAAAGCTCATCTCCATGCCAGTAATGTGTTACGGCTGCTGAACGGAAAGAAGAGTGGGGTGCCATGGACAAATCACGGAAACCACTGTAAATATAAACCCTTGGATTATCCAGGGGAGAAACAGTAGATCTGGTGTCGTCGTTTGTATCTCAGAGGTCACAGCGGTGCAAGTCCAGGTAAAGCTTTGCATTCCTAGCAGAGTCCAGGCTGGGAGCATAGATGTCTTCTCTGCCTAAGCAGAGGTGGCCCTACCTACAGAGGAACACACCCCTCACGACTTGTGGAGTCTTGCATCCCCTTCCCACTGGCAGTTAGCTGTCCTTTAAAAATGCTGACAGGAACTGAATTAATATTGGAAATAGATGAATGGAAATAGATTCAAAGAAATGAAAACCATTTGCAAATCCATAGCTGCAAAGCCACGGTTCTAATATGCAATTAGTATCAATTTAGAAAGAGTAAAGGGACCACTGAAGAAGTGAACTAAAGGAATGACAGAAGAAAACTGCTCTGCGACAACAAACAGCATAGGTTTTCAGGTTGAGAGAGCCCTCTAAATTCTAGGCAAAGTAGTGAAAGAAGGCCTATTATGTCAACATTTGTGAATTCTGAGGCCAAGAAACTTCTAGACAGAAAGGATATTACTTACAAAGGAAAGAAAATAATTGCACATAAATCTGTTATAGCGAAATTGGCATACAGTGAATCAAGACAATTCCTCAAGAAAAAGGCTGAGACTCAAGATCTTATGCCCATCCAATATATCGTGTAAATGCCAAGGCAAAGAAAAAAATCTTTGAGCTCAAAACCATAACATCGAAATAACCTTTCTAAGCAAATTACCTAAGGATATGACTGAGAACCAAAATAAAAACAAAATTACAATAAAGACTTGAAAATGCTGTAGTGTAAAACCACATAAAAATAGTGTTAAGCAAAGATTCTTCTAAGTTTATAGTGAGCATTAAGTGGTAATATTGTAAATATAAGCAACAGTATTAATTTGGAAAGAAGTTTAGAGCAGTCAAAACATAATCACAGAGCATTTAATAACACCCTGGAACCAAAATTTAAAATTATTAACATACAAAAGTTGAGGAGGATAAGGACAAGAAAGGGAAATTAAAGCATTTTAAAAAGTGTTTAATTGAAGATGGATGAAGAAATGTTTAGAATAGGATAGTGGAACATTTGATGAAAGATATACTATGCAATTGTAGTATAGCAATATAGAAAATAGCTTTAAGTGATTATGAAAATAGGTAAAAAGTCACTAGTAAAATAGGAATATAATAGAAAAATGTGTAAATTATTCATGTGGAATAGGACATTTTAAAACCTCAAGTAATGCATCCAAAAGAAAAATGGAAAATGAAAATAATTAAAGGTAATCATAAAATATTTAACAAGGTAAAATACAAGTAACTATAATAAAAATGAGAAGTTTAAATTTCTCTATCCAAAGAGGAAAATCTAACAGAATGAGACAAAAAGGAAAGGAACCTGAGTGATTGCCTCAGATATTTTATCAGACAAATGGAAACTAAATGAAGAGAAGCAACACTAAAGGTGTTAAAAATAAATTTTTTAAAAAATGTATTTTTATTCAAAAAAAATTTTAAGTAACAATCAAGAACAATTATGGGCAAGTAATGTAGGCTTGCATTATATGAGGTAAAAATCTTCCATGAAATACAAAAACCTGATAAAAAATTATAATTACAGTAGCACACATGAATTCATTTATCTTTTTTGACAAGCTTGGGATGAAGGTGATGGTTCTTTTGGAGAACTGGGGAGTACCCAAGCCAACCAATGGGAAGTGGTCATGATAGTTCACCATGACATTGCAGCCATGTGGTTGGTTGTGGTTATTAAATTTAACTATGTCAGCTTGATTACTTGGGGGCCACTCAGGTTGAGTAAAGCACACCTCTGGCTGTGGGTCAGCGGGTCATGAAGATATGAGCTTGTGTCCTATGTCTGGTCCCTCTCTCCTTCCTCTTTGGTGCTGATCCTCCACTCTGCTTGCTAACTGCCATGAATTGACCATCTTTGCTCCAACATGCCCTTCCACCATGTTTCTGCCTTCAAGCAAGCTGACAATGGACTGAGTTAGCTTAAAATGTGAAGCAAATTAAACCTCTCTTCTTTAAGTTGTGGATGTTGAGCATTGTATCCCAGCAACATGAAAGCTAATACAGAAAATTGGTACCAGAGGAGTGGGATCACTGGTGTGAACATACCTGACCATGTGGTTTAGAAGTCTTTAGAAATAGTTTGAAGGATTATCTTGGAAATGTTTGGAGAAAAGAGGTAGAGAAGCCTTAAAATTATGTAAGCTGAGTTTGATGAGTTATTTGGGTCAGAGCTCATAAGACCAGAATGCTTACAGAAACATAGACAGTAAAGGCCAGGCTCAGCGGGGAGCAGGGGCTCTCCTGGCAATTTGGCTAGTGGCCATGTGCATTACCTTCTCGCAAAAAAAATTTTTAAAAATGAATCAAATGAAAAACAGATTGTCTACATTTACCCATGTCCAGTGACTGAGATTAAGGGAGGTGAGCTGATAGATTTGGCAGAGCAAATCTCAAGACAGCTCAGTGTTTGGGTTACTGCTGAATGCTTTTAGTCAGATTTATAAGGAAAACTGAGAGCAAAAATTTTGGAAAAAATTAAATTTTGGTACAAAAAGAACCACATGTAAACTTGGAGCTAAAGGAGGTGTGACTGCTGAAGAGATTAGCACCATTAAAAAAGAAGAAGAGACACTGTACAAAGAAGAAAGATGTTTGTCAAGGAAATCTCAGAATCACAGCCTCAACAGTGAAAAAGTGTAAACCCTTCATCTAAGATAAGTCACTGGTCCCCATGGTGGAGAAAGGTCACCTAAAGAATTATTTCCCAACGATTCATTCCACTATGCTCAGCCATCCAGGCAGTTAGAGGCTGCTACAGCCATGGTCCAAGGGGACTTAGCTATTGCATGTATGCTCAATAGATCTTGGTATCATCTACATGATGGTGATGTTCAGGCATGCACAGAATAAAACATTGTGGGGTTCAAAGGCTGTCAACCAGATTTCAAAGGCCCAGGAAGTCAGGCAATGTACTCCTCAGGGCTGGTGCATGAAGATATAGAATTCCTAGGTAGAGTAAAGATCTCAGGAAGATGGAGATGCTAGGAATGTAGTACCTCTGCAGAAGAAAGCTGCAGACAGTGAGCAAAGCTGGTCCAAGAGAGAGGCTATGCAGGCTGAAACCCTCAAATTTTTAGGTGTTGGGCTACCTCTGTTCTCTGGATCTCACATTTTAGTACTACATACCCTGGATACCAGCTATAAAGCATAGGACTTAGTGTCTGCTCTGCTGTGTTTCAGTCTAGTTTTGGTCCTATTATATTCTGGAATATAATAGGAATTCCTCCTCTTGTAATGGGAATGCTTACTGTGTGCCATTGTATTTTAGGGCCATGTAATATTTAATTTATTTTTTATAGAAGTTCACAACTAGGAGTTTGCCTTGAGTCTCAGAAGAGACTTTGACTTGGATTTTTGAAAAATACTGGAATTGTTGAGATTTTAGGGAAGGAGTTATTGTGTTCTTGGTTGTATACAGGATAGTTGTAACATGGTTTGCAAAACTGTTAATTTACTATTGTGTTTACCCGAAGATTAAGCATTGCTCAAGGAAACGGTTGGCTGTCAAGCTGAACAAGGGGTGATACGTGGAAGATAAGCTTACCTGTCTCAAGTCATTGTCTGGGGAGACGCTGAGGGGATTAATAGAGCACACTTCCAGGTGCACCTTCATGGGTTGTAGAAAAGTGACCTTGGATGCTATCCCTGGTGCTGTGGCCCTTTCTCTCTGGTGCTAATCCTCTGCTTCCCAGCTGCCATGAACTAAGCAGCTTTACTGCATCACACCCTTCTGCCACGATGTCTTGGCCTTGGAATTAGCTAGCTGTGAGCTGAATCCCCTGAAAAAGTGAGCACCTGTCATCCTGTTTGCCTTGTGGAATGGAGTATTCTGTCCCTGCAACAGTACACTAATATACTAGGTTTTGCTTCTAGTAGTATTACATGCATCTGTGGATCTCCCTGGATCACCTGCCTCCAGAAGATTCTGGAACTACCAAATATCTTTTGATACAGTGTGTCATAAATTAAATAAGTATCTGTCATTTGTAATTAGATAAGATTATTGTTTGGAAAGTAAGATAATAATTATGAAAATTTAAAGTGTACATGTTCTTTAGCCTGGAAGTAAAGCCTATAAAATATGATCCTTCCTTCAGCAGACTGGTAAAAATTCAGAGTTCTGCACCCAGAAGTCTCCTTTTTAGGAATGTATCTGACAGTGCATAATATGTATTAGCATGTGCATTGTAACATTGCATTCATAAGAAAAAATAGAGACA